TAGTTCTCTTTCCAACTCTCTATCTATAACTTCTGTCTTACTCTCCAAAATTTCCACTTTGCCATTAATTTGTTTTATATCTTGAGAAATTTGTTTTACAGAATGTTCTATCTTTTTAGCTTCTTCTTTAATCTCCTCTTTCATCTTTACAAGTCTTTCATCTATTCTTTTTTCAAAAACTATAAATTTAGTATCAAGTGACTCAGTTTGCTACCATGTTTATCAAACATCTTCTGAAGTAAATCTGTAAATTTAAGGTATAATTCCTCTTTCTGCCATCTGTTCTAATGATCCCCTTATCCGCTCCATTCTTGTTGCTTTTTGTGTTGTTGCCATTATATTGTAATCCAAAAGTGAAAGTGTCTTAAAGAATGGAAAAGGAAAAGACAAACTCCCCCCCCTTTTTATCTCTTTTATCTTCCTGTGCCTTTAATGCTTTAATCTCTAATGACACTTTGTAATTGCAGTCAATGTCACATCCACATCTGCACAGTAATAGTCAACCACACAGCCTACTTGAATTACACTTATCCTTTGTTTTGTAAAATCCACCAACTGTCTGCAGTCTTTAGTAGTAAGCAAAAAGCTTTCCCATGGAAGTCCAGTTCGCTTGCCTAAATTAATTACACTTTATTCCAATGTAGTTTTGTTAAAAAAATAATCTTTAAAAAACAACCTTACAAAATAACTGTCCCCTTTATCCATTTTAAACTTTTAAAAATCATCTCTTGTTAAGCTTTTTGCCAAAATTTTTTAAGACTTTAAGTCCTTGAAGCTCTTTTTATTTCTCATCCAGAAAAAATGAAACTCATCAAAAGGAATCTCTTATCCAGCTGTAAGGAAAACCTCTATCTGTAGACTAATTAAATCCAAAAGTGAGTAAGAAATGAGGTACAGCTGGGTTTATTTTCTGTATAGGCTACATTACAGCTGTGAGACTAGATGGAATCCCACAATTCCCAGCCACTCAATTGATGAGCCAACTGCAAAAACTTCTATTCTTGCAGTTTACTCATGAGGAGCAGCTATCTGGAGTACAAGTGGGTTATATCACAATCTCTCCTTTATCCAGAGAGATTTTGGTGTCCAGCATTTGCCCTCTGGGCACTGATCTCCACTGTAATGTCGTCTCTGCTTCTCGGGGATATCTAGTCCACCATAGACCTCACTGGAAGCTCCACCATACTAGCTACTTTTGTGTAAATTTGCATAGAATTGCACTGAGTCAATTCTTTGGAAGTTAGATCCATCAAATATATTGAGGCTTTCTGATGAAGGCATATTTTGTGCTACACCAGATGTATCAGGAAATAAAAAGTGTTCCTATCCATTACTACAGATGTTTTTCTAGTGTATGTTCTAAGTGTAAAAAAAATATGTACATTTTGGAAATTCAGTACAAAGAACAGTTACTATGTTTGTGTTATATAGATATGGTGAGCACTCAGTTCTTCAGACCAGTGGTATATGTTAAGACTTCAATCGTATTTCTTAGAAAAACATATTCCTGGATTCTAAGTGCTGTTTCTATTAAATCTCTCTCGTGTTTTCTTATAACAAAATAACTGAATACATTCCAGGAAATCAAGTGACTACATTGCAGCTATCTTGGAGCTCAGCTTCCTTGTTGTGCAGCGGAACAATAATGTGTTTTACCATTTTGACTGGGTTTACTACCTGACATCCCACAGTCGCCGATTCCGCAGTGCGTGTGACATTGTGCATCGTTTCACAGCAAGTGTGATTCAGGAGAGACGAACAGCACTTAACCGCTTGGGCCAGAATGCCTGGCTCAGATCACATCAGGGCAAAACCATTGACTTCATTGATGTTCTGTTGCTGGCCAAGGTAAGGGGCAATTTGGGGCTTAAGGGCTAGAAGATGAGTATACATGGGTTCCTTTGGACAATCTGTTTTGGGGAACAGCTTTCTGATACAGAAGATTTTCATTCTGACTTTTTAATAAAGAGCTATAGAAAGATATGGATGATGGACCCAAGGATGGAGAGAGATATACTTAATAAACCTTAGGAAGTTACCTGGATCTATAAAAGATTATGTAACACAGTTTTAATAGCAGAAGGAGATGAATTTTGCAGGTGAGCTAGAATGTTATGAGGAAGCAAAGCATTTATTTTATTTATTAAGCAAATTTATATAGCCGCCCGCTCACCCAAGCGACTCTGGGTGGCATATAACAAAGCATGCTAGATTTCACTAAAATTGATGGAAGAACTTCCCAGCCACACATCTTGAAACCAGAAAAGACAATTTGGTAGAATTTCAGACTGATTCATGACAAATTAGCTAGAAGGCAGGGCTAGTCAAATATGATGTTGAGATAATTGGCACTTAAGCAAGAGTCCTATATAACAATGTTAAGGGGATAAGTCAGTGCCTGTCTCTTGATGAGAGTCAGTATGTATTTGACTCCTGTTCAGGTGTTTTAGGCCACAGCTGGTTGCAGCCTCTCTTCTCCTCCATCCTTGTTTGCAATATAATCACAATATTTCACCTAAGCTTGCACATACAATTCATTAAACAAAGTCAATCTACTCTCCTTTTCTCTCTCCTCGATATCCCCAGCACAGAAGACTGGCTACAGAGCTCATTCCCCACCCCCACCCCCACGACACTTCACTCTAAGTTCTTTTGCAACCCTACAAGAGCATGTTTGTGCCAAGTTACACAGTGTGCTGGCTTATGGCCTCCCATTTTAAGTTGTCTTCCTTCAAGAAATAAAAGAAGCATAGAAAGGAAGCACAGCACTTCAACCGCTTGGAATGGGCACACACTGATAGGATTCACTATGACATCTCTCTGGAAGAAGCTAGGGAAGAGCAGAACAAATTTAACAGCAGGTTCTCATGAAGCAGACATCAGCTTATGTGTGGCTCAGCATGAGGTCAAGAAAGTCATTGTCAGAATTCAATATCAGAGTGATGTTCCTACTCTGGTTTTGAAAGCTAGATTGTTTTGGTTAAAGGAGGACTTATCCTACCAGACAGGTTAAAAAATGAAATGTGATAGTCTCCCATTCTTTTTCCAGCTCATAAGAATAGGGGGGAAAAAGAGCAAAATATAAAGCCTTGATGGAGATGCTCTGAAGAAATGATCTTCTTTAGTCCCCAGCTGGGGTTTTCCAGCTTTTTCAAGTCACAAAAAACATTGGTTAAAAAAATGTCACAGAATCCATGATCAAGAGGCAAAACCCTATTTTCTTTCTGATAGAAATAGGCTGTGTTCAAGAGAATTTTTTCTTTTTGCCCTTAGTCTCACATGGAACCCCATCAGATTCTTGTGGAACCCCAGGATTGCACTGAACACAACTTGAAAAACCCTGCTATAGTAGTTAATAGATCTTTAAAAAAAGCTTCTCCTTGTAGGCAAAGTGGGGGTGGGTGGGTAATTGCTAGGATACATCTGAATGCTCATTGTTCTTCATCCCCATGGTGTTTCGTATGAATGATGCCGCGTGGTCACATGATTAATCCCAGAAATGCTGTGGAAGAAGCCTCTCCTCTTGGAAAGGCCTGTATAGAATACTTCTAATTACTAATAGGGGTGCTATGGTTGCTGTCTGTAGGGCAGAGAGTTTTCATTGGAACAGAAGCCCTGCTTTTCCAAAAATCCATCAGCATATATGAAAAACTGAACTGCTCAGGAGATGGAGACCTTAATAAATGCAGAGTATGTGGCTTAGTGAAGGCTGTTGATAGCAGGTGTGGAGGATGGCAGAGAATGAGTGTGGTCTGAGTGAGACTCTTGAATGTGGAAATAGCATTAGTGAGATTTTCAGGCTGTCTTGTCTCAGCAAACACCTGATTTTGTGATTGCAGGATGAAGAGGGTCAACATTTGTCTGATGAAGACATCGCAGCTGAGGCTGACACCTTTATGTTTGAAGGTGAGATGGGTGAATGGATCTCATGCTTGCAGTAGATTTCTCGGAAGGAAAAAGCTGGAGAAATGGGGCTGCATTCCTCCTCCAAGCTCCCTCTGCAAGACTCAGAGGGAGGGGCTTAGTTGTGGCTTCTGCTTTGACTTGTTCAGTGGCTTGTTCAATGCACAGGCTGTATGTTGCTCATTGCCTTATCTGGTGCTGCCCCAGTTTTGATGTATCCCACTGTTTGCATCTCTTCCACATGCCAGGCCCCTGGAAAAGGACCTATCTTAGGCATAACATTTTGATTTATGGGCCCAAACTATGGGGCAGTCTGCTCTGTAAATAGCAAGCCCCTCTGAGAGTCGAACCTATTATCAGTTGATTATTTCCATGAGCTGCAACAGATTGATATTTGAACCCCAAAGGAGCTATGCTGCTATGTTGCTCCCTATATAAGGACTCTAGGCAGACCCTTATATATCTGATCTTGAAGAAATTTCCAGGTAGGAAATGTGATTTCTATTTAATGTTACTTCTTTCGGACAAGGACTCAAAAATATCTGCCCAAGTTGCCAAGTTTTGTGCCACCATCTGTACAATATGCTGCACCATTACCTAGGTTTGGAATGTCTTATAATGGTATTTTATTTTGATTTATTTTAGTATTTTTATTCTTAATTATTTTAGATCCTATTATATTCACTGTTTTTCTGTCGTGTGTGTGTGTAAAAGGATGTAATACTGCTTTTATTACCTATTTTGATTGTATCTGGCCTTAGGGCTGTAATAAACTTGATTGATTGATTGATTGATTGATAACTACCAAGTAGTCCTTCTCTGGGCATCTTCCATATACCTTTTGTCTTGCTGCAGGCCATGACACTACAGCAAGTGGCTTGTCCTGGATACTATACAATCTGGCTCGACACCCCAAGTATCAAGACCAGTGCCGGGCAGAGATTCAGGATCTGCTGCAGGGACGGGAAACAGAAGAAATTGAATGGTAATGGGCTGGGGGTGTAAATAAAGCAATCCAGAGGATGGAAGATCAAGTCAGATTCAAATGTTAGTTACCAGGTTAAAAAGAGATTAAATGAGAAAGTGAACAAAGCTAGAGAGGGATGGCAAATGTGTCATGTGTCTTCCATGAGTGAAATTATGATGTTACATCATTAAGGTGAACATCATTACATGCTGGCTGGGGAATTCCACATATCTTAATGTTGCCAAAGTTGAAAAAGACTGGTCTAAAGGTTCATTAAATGACTGTATTGCTGGGGATTGTGCAAGCTGTTTGCTTAGAGCTCTCCCTCGCAGAGGGTCTGTTCATAAGGCATCCTTGAAGTAGTCTGAGTGGGGAGTATTACATTTGTATGTTAAAATGCCAGTAACCTCTTGGCCAAATGGAGTTAGGAGTGGGCTGACTTCCTCAGAATGGAACACACAAACTGGGAAGAAGATCGAAGAAGTGCTCAGGAAGGGTTTCATTTTAAAGAGCAGGCCGGAGACCATAGGCTGCCCAAATGTCAGCAGGACGCCATGGCAACTGCCTCGAGGTGGAAGTCATTCTACCTTTTCTAAGTCCCTCAGTTGTCTTTCACAGTAAAAGGTCTGGATGACAATTTTTTTTAGATCCCCATCTGCCTCTGTTTATTCTGTTGTTTAAAATTTGCAGAGTTATCTGACTGCTTTGTAGGGGACATTTACCTTTTGCAAGCTTCTCACCTTTCTGAGTTGGCCTCTTGCCTTTGTCTGCAGGGCTGCTTAACCTTCTCTGTCCTGTCCCTTTATTAGGCTAAGGTCAAGGGTAAGGTCCCCCTTTCCTCTGCCAGCGGTTGTAGGGCACAATTCAGGCACGTATTGTTTGCTTTAGCAGGGTGGGCAATTTTGTTTGATTGGCCCTCAGTAAATTTTGCAAAAGATTCTTTTAGAGAACCTACTTTGTTCTTAAGTGTGGCGGTCAGGAAGTTAAACACTGGAATAACGGTCTGTGCTGTCAGGAGACTTTGTCTGGTTACGAAATCAAGTGCATTGATTTCTTTTAAGAGTTTAAGGTTTGAGTCCTAGTTTCCCTCCTGTATGAGCCATTTTATAGCTGAGAAAACAGCAGCAGTCTGAGGGGAAGGGACATCCTCTGTCAGAGAGGAGGACAGCTCTAGGGATGACTCTCAATCCCTGTCGGATAAACGAAGTGGGCTGATGTTACTTACAGGAGGGTCCTGCTTGCTTGTGCTATATCTGTCAACTGTTTTTTTCGGAGACTTAGATGAAGTATGTGTTGCAGAGAGTGTCCGCTGTCTCTTCTTCCTTTTCCCCAAGACAGCAGTGCAGATGTTCTGTCTATAAAAGGAACGAATCCAATAACCCAATAATAAAAAATAATAAAATTGTAAAATATGAGAAGGGAGGATCAAATGATATGAAAATAAGGCAGTAAAATAAAACGAAAGATGGTATGAGAAGACTTTTAGGAGGAATTTGTTATAGGGGTTGTAACCCCATTGCCATCTTCTTTCCTTCCCCGGTGAATGTTCTTCACTTGCTTTCCACTTGCACAGTGCTGAACCCACTTGGGCACAGATTGCAACAAATCTACACTGGGTGCTGCTGAGCAGTTTGATTCTGCTTATACCCCAGTTCTCCAAGAAAATAACAAGCAATCAGTTGTATGGGCTCTGCCAGTCACCTGGGAGGGTCCATTGGAAAATATTCATTGCTCTGTGCTTTTCTTTCAAGTTTGCAACTTAGTCACTTTTTTGTTCTCTCTGGGAATGAGGAAAGAAGAAAAACTGCTGCTTCGGGGGGTGGGGGGGAAACCCTGCCAAATGCTCGCCTTTTGACTGCAGTCTGCCAGCAGTCAAGCTGTAAATGTGCAATCCATTAGTTTGGTTGCACACCCAAAGCTAGATCACCATCAGAACTCACTCTCATTCTGCCCAAACAGTTCTGACAGGCTTCTGACTTTCTGTAGCTGTAGCTCATCAGAACTGGCTCCTGCTTTTTCTGGGTATGACCAGGCAAAGTGAATAGGACTGCTCAGAGAGAGTTTTGAGAGATGGTTAAACTGGTAGGCTTTGCCATCTGTCAAAACCAACCACTAACCACAGCAGTTTTATGTAGCTATTTCATTATTTTTTCATTATTCCTTAGTTTGAGTAGTCCTGCCTTCTCTTTTTTTATCTGTTAGCTTTTCACTGTCTTTACTGAGCAGCCAGGATACAAATACTTTTCTTTTTCTTTTGAACATCTGAAGAAGATCACTCTTTGTGATTAGCATACTTCCTCAACCTCATCTCATTCTTAACCCTTCCTGACACCATCCTATGGTTCATAGCTATTTGTACGTGTTCTTCCTTGGTGGTCTGAACTTCTCTCCACCTCTTGTATATGTCCTTTTTTCTTCTCATTCTTCACTAACCACATTGGCTTATTCTACTCACCTTTCCTATTTTGTTTTCCTTGTTTGCAATTGCGCTTTTAGGGTCTTGTTTTTAGCAACTCCGACCCAATGTGAATTCTTTTCCCCATTAGCTTCTCCTGCCATGGAATCTTGTTTATCATTGTTCTAAGTTTATTAAAAAATATTTTGAAGTCTAAGATACATATTCATCTATACTCAGGGCTTCTCCAGCCCACTAATGGTGGCAGGAAGAGATGCCTTGTTAACCTTTTTAGGAAGACATAAACGGATGACACCATCTTCATTTCATCTCCAAACCCATCATAAAGGCAGCCTGCCCATATCTTTTCCTGTTTCACCTTTAAAGTGGTGTATTCCACATTCTGCCAACAAAAGGTATGGTTTCTTGTTCTCAAAGGCTGTATCTGCTCAGCTTTTATGTTGCCTTCTTTCTTTCTTTTTCAAAGAGGAAAAGAAGGAAGAGCAACAAGGGGCAGCTATTTAAAAGAGAATGATAAAGTACAGGTTCAGCACTGAGGCAGCTCTCTTGGGATTGTCTTCCATTGTCCTCCACTAGTTCCCAAACATTTCCACCCCCGTGTGCAGCAACCTCTGTCACAGCAACATTCCCTGCAGCCAGGTCAAGAAGAAGGAGAGAGGGCTAGCTGAGAACAAACCATGTGATGCTACCGTATCCCGAAGTCTTGCTAACTACTGCGGCTTGGTCCCATTTCTCTTCTCAGGACAGATCTCTCCCTCATGCCCTTCACCACCAAGTGCATCAAGGAGAGCCTGCGCCTGCACCCTCCAGTCACAGGTATATCTCGATGCTGCACTGAGGATGTGAACCTTCCTGATGGACGAGTTATCCCTAAAGGTATCTGCTCTGGAAGGGCCCCCATGCCATCCCTAGCCAGTTATCATCATCTCTTCCATCTGTATCTGGCAGCTGGATTCTCTTCTTCACTCAGTGGCTTTATGCCCTGCCGGCACTAGCAGTCATCCCAGGCCACTATGTTATCATTCGTTGGGCTCCATGAGAAACAGACATGCTGTGAGCTTAGCAAAGTGCAAAGTATATTGAACAAAGGGAGAAAAAAAAAGTTCCCAGGTCCTTGGAAAGTTGGTTACATATTGAGCTGGTTCTCCCTTGTATTAGAGACCCTTTACAGTATTTATCTGATGTAAGCTGAATGTGACTCTCTTGCTTTCTCAAATGCTATAATGGCCACCACTAATCTAGATTAATCTACATTTGCAAGCAGCTGGATCACCCCAAAATAATAAAAAAGAATCCCATCATTCTTTACCTTCCACACTTATGGGTCTTACAGCAATAAGGTGGCAAGCTCCACATTTTGCTCACGCTCCATGTCTCATTCATCTTGAAAAATATGATGTCATTTTTATGTGTACTGTATGCATGCTGCCCTTTCCTCCTGCTGTTTTGTTTGTTGCTATGTTTGCTTGGCACATCATGTCATTCATTGGTAACACAGCTGCCAAAGAGATGCGGGAGAAACCGTGGGTCTTCCTATGTCATGTAGTTTGGGCTAGACCTTTTATTGTCGCTTTTTAACCTGGCTTTTCACTGCTCAGGAATCTTTATAGCCTTTTCTGGGATGAGCCCATCATTAGGGAGTCCCTTTCAGAACTACAACTTTCCTGTGCAGCTGGCTATCGAAAAAGGCTGCCAGTTACAGAGCCGATCCCAAATGCTGTGACCTTTTTACCATAAGGGCAAAACAGTTTATAGTTTCACCTTAAAGAGGGTTTGCACTGTGACAAAGTGATTGGCAGCTGTTTTTAAATGCTCGTAAGCCACAGTTGCTGGAACAGAAGCCAAAGGGGCTGCTCCTGTGGGTCTCTGAGGGCTAGTCTGGTCATGATAATTCAGTAGCTAAGTATATTGATTTCCAAAGGTATATTCTGCTTTTTGTTCATTGAGAAGTGTAAAGAATCCAGCAAGAAGATATGTAGGGAGGAATGAGATAACTGCACGGTTGAGGCTGGGAAGTGGAGGAACAGCAAATGGCTGTCACGGCAAATGCAGCAGTGGAGGGGGGTGGAAGAGCTGGGAAGAAGAGAGTAACAGCCAGGCAGCACATGCTGGTCCTCTTCAGGGGGCAATTCTTGGCTATTAGTGGAGTCAGAAATTGATTGATTGATTGACTATGTGCCATCAAGTCATTAAAGGAAGATCTCAGATCTTCTGAAAATCTGTAGCACTAGCAGAGACACGAAATGTGCCTGATTCTAAAGACAAGCCAAGAGAACGCTGACTTATTCTTTGCTCTGTCGGTTAATGATAGCAATTCATTTGCCAAGTTCTGACACGTCCTTTTGCCTGCCTCCTGCTTTTGTGAATCCTTCTGTCTTTTGTGCACATCCAGAGTTCATAAGGCTTTTTTCTCTACAGGGAATGTCTGCCTGATCAGTATCTTTGGGACCCATCACAATCCTGCTGTCTGGCCAGAGCCTGAGGTAGCGGTTTCTGCATTTCTGTCTTTGTAATTTGTTCCTGTCCGTTTTGGGTCCATGCAGACCTCAGCCATGGAAAACTCCCAGGAGATTCCCTTCCCTTTGCAGGTTGCGTGGACCCACAGTAGGATGCTATTTTGGAGGTGGAGGCAGCTTAGTCTGGTCATGATAATTCAGTAGCTAAATATATTGATTTCCAAAGTTATATTCTGCTTTTTGTTCATTGAGAAATGTAAAGAATCCACCAAGATATGTAGAAATTGTGTATCCATTAAGAAAAATACACACCATCACAACTATGTAACAGCATAGATTGAATCTTCAAAAATTAGCCAAAAATAACCTGTTCTGTATAAAACAGGTGGCTGGGAGGCTCTGTTTGCTTGGTGGATTGTACATTTATGCAGACTTATTCTATAGACAGATATCCCTCTGCTCATAAAATAGTTTCTACAAGTTTTGGGACAGAATGTTTTCAGAAGAACCAGCTCCATAGTTTAAGAGAGTTGTGTTGGGCTTCCTATTTGTGTCAGAACCATAAGCCCACTTTCCCAAGCCATAAGTTGGCAGATCTGATCTTCCAGGTCTTCATTGGCTGGTGAGTACTCCTGGGAATGTCAAGTGCCTGTTCCTGAACTTCTTATGCTTGGATATCATGGCATGTGACAAATGAAACACTTGGTGTCAACAATCAGTTCCTTCTTATGTTCACAGTTTCACATTCAACCCATTCATCCAAATCTGTTTGTTTCTCAAAGGTCTATAACCCACATCGCTTTGATTCATCTGCCTCATATTGTCCACTGGCTTTTGTGCCCTTCTCTGCAGGACCCAGGTAAACAAGTATACAGCTAGAGACAAAATATAAAGTTCCACATAAGAACGTGCAGTTTTGGAAGTCAAGTCTTTCAAAATATGTATTAGGTTAGCTGATTTTTTTTAAAAAAAGGAATAAAATGAGTCAGTAAAATAAAAAAGTCAGTCATAAAAAAGTCAGTATTCCAGGCTCCTCTAGATCTCTAAACCCAGATCAAGGATGTCCATCTCTTCTTCACCAAAACACAACTCTACATTTTAGCAAGGATAGACATCATAGTGCCCATAGACATAATTCTCTTATACTCTCTAGGCTTCTCATCCCCACCCTTATTTTTGTAAACTTTTCATTCAAAATAATGATGAAAAGGAAAGCTGGTATGCTTGAAAACAAAGTTGTGGGCTCTCACTTCTTTATTTAGAAGAGTGCCTCAGGACCTCACAGAGGCATTTTTAGAAATGAAAATCACTAAGCCCAGGACTTTGTTTAGAAGCGTGCCCACCTAGCCAAAAACAAAGGTGCAGTGGTAAGAAGCATCAAGAGGGAGCCGGGGAGGGTACCAGGGAAGAACACCTCAAGTTTGTCTTCTGGTAAGAGTGCATTTGTAACTGCCCAAATTCTTCTGGGCAGGAATTTTACAACAGTGCGCATAACACGCTCTCAAAATTGCAAATGTGCCCACCACCCTGAAGAGGTTACCTACCCTGCTCTATAGGGAATATCCCAATGTTTCAAAGATGAAGTAAGTCTTTTTATAATACAGCAATGCCTTTCCTGACAATGCATGTGAAGTTATTATGCAACTTTCAGCACAGTAGTCAGTCTGGTCTCTAATAAAAAAAAAAAGCCTTCTTGAAGCTAGATTTGCCTAATGAGCTTCAAGAAGAGAGAATCATTGTAAAGAAAAGTCAGCCACATAGCCACTGAACTGGAATCTTCCTTCCCTGCAGGAACTGCATTGGGCAGAACTTTGCCATGGTGGAGCTGAAGGTGGCCCTGGCGCTGACCCTGTTGAGATTTGTGCTGCGGTTGGATGAGAGCCGAGCTGTACGGCGCCAGCCACAGCTAATCTTGCGGGCAGAGAATGGGCTGTGGCTGCACGTGGAGCCAATCCATGCTGAATCTTGATCAGAAGTTCCACATGGAAGATTAAAGTCTCTGCTCTTCAACCTGTAGTCGATATTGTAATGTGCCAAGAGGACTTGTGATCAGAGATGTTCTTTGCTTCCAGTTTCGTGGAGAGCAGGATAGATTGTATTTTGCACACATCTTCCCACCAGTGTGCCTGTGCCCCATAGTCTACTAATTGCTGCTTAGCCCTACTTTATTGCTTTGCTACCATGAAGATCACCAAGAGGTATTCGAAATAAAATTGAAGTCATATAAAATGAGTTTTGGCTTGGTTTTAAGTATTTAGGCAATGGATATGTGCATTCTGGATATTCCAAACATCATGTGGGTTGGCTTTCAACGCTGCTCTTTTATATACTGCTGTTACCATTCTATCCCTTCCAAGGGTAATTTCTAATTCTTTCTGACAGGAGCGATTCCCATTCTGGAAAATCTTCTCCACTGTGATACAGAACTGAGAACAGGGGCCTTATTTAGAAAATGAGAGTTTTCATTTTCTGTCACACATATACTTGATAAATCAAATTTGTCCCATTTCAGGAAATCTAGGGTACTTTGGGTGGTCTTTGTACCCTTCCCAGATCACTCACATAATCTCACAATGTCATCTCTCATCAGCAGCTATTTCTGGCTTATCTGCAGTTCATCAGGAAAAGCACTGAATCTAATTTTCCAATAAAAGTACTACAGCTCCATGGTGGTTACAAATGGGCTGTTTTCCCATTGGCAGCAAATCTGGCTTCACCCCAGTTCTTTGGTTTTCCTCCTTTCCTATGGAGGTACCTTTATACTACCATATAACATTTCATTCAGGGTGTGAATTGCTCAAATGTTTTCAAAAACTCCAAATGCCAAACAAAGCAGTTTGTGAGTGGAGGACATGTTTGTGGCCTCCCATTGTCTGAGCTGCTTGTTAGTCAGTGGTAGTGAAGGCGATTGAGTACCTTTGTATGGCACCTTTTATTTCCCAAGTTTCAATAAAGCCAAATAAAGAGACTTGAGACGAG